GCGGCCACCGCAGCGGCGGGTAACGCGCCTGCAGCGGGGGCGGCTACCGCGCCTGCAACGGGGGCGGGCGCCAGCGCGAGGAAACAGCCTCACGCGGCCGCGGGGGCGGGGAGGAGCGCCGCCGCCGCCGCCAAAAAAGGCAAGGCGAAGCCCGGATCAGGTCACGGCCAAAACAAACTCACAACGGGCCAGCGCCTACAGCTAGTTAGGGACGTCCAGGCTGGCAAACAAAGGAGCAAGGTGGCGGCCACGTACGGCGTCACGACGTCGTACATCAGCAAGTTGATGAAGCCCGACAAGTTGGCCGAGCTTCACAAGTCCCGCGATTCGGAACTCAACCTGGACGCCCTTCGAACACCAACGCCCGTGCACGACGATCTGGAAAAGCGTTTGCTCCAATGGATCAAGGTGGCACGAGCGCGATTCGAGGTAAGGGTCATTCGGTTGCAGCAGCAGCATCAGCAGTGGCAGACCGCTCTCTGTGCAGTTCTACATGTGTGCTGCACGATTTTCTGGGGGCCCCGCAGTATATAAAGTACACCCCCCCTAATATTGTATATCTGCGGGGCACCATGGTTCGGAATTTGTTTCGTCTTTATCGCGGGGAGTTGACTTAAGATGAGCGTCTTTAAAGCGGGGACGACTGTATATATAGTGCCTCCGAGGGTTTCATGTAGTTATTGTGGCGTTTTGTTCATGCAGCGCGGGCAGCGGGCAGCTCTCCTCTGGCTCCCAGGAAGCAATGGGCCGTCCATCCAAGGGCAACAAGAGCGACGGAAAGCTACGTACGAGCGCGAGAGCGAGAGCACCTGAAAGAGAGAAAGAGAGAGGGGAGGAGCGATACAGGTGTGCCAAGTCTGCAGGAGGTGTTTACAAGGCTGCGACACAATGGTTTCTTGTGCAGTGCTGATGGCGGTGGCCGGCATTGCGATGCTGGGGCCCTCAACAACGAGCGCTTTCACTGCCTCTCCGACCAGCATCCGGTCCCAGCACAGCAGAGCGGCGGCGCGACCAAGCTGCGACCACGCCGCAAGCACGCAAGCGCCGAGCCGACATCATGCTGCCGCGAAGGCCGGCGGGAGACGATACGCGTCACAGCTGCGAATGAGCACCGCTGAGGAGACTCCTGCGGCGGCGGCCGCGACCGCCGTAGCTCGCGAGCCGACGAGAGACATTCCCACCACATTGCCGTCGGAGTGCGGGATAGACTACGTGCCGCTGGCTACGATGCTGGCCACGGGGGACCTCAAGGGCGCCGACCAGTTCACGCGAGACGCGCTCATCAAGGCGGCGGGCGCGGGCAGCCAAAAGAGAGACTTCGTGTACTGGACGGAGGTCAAGAACATCCCCAAGTGAGCCGTAGACGAGATTAATGCATAAGGATTGGGGAGGTGCACGTAGGAGTCGGGAGCATGTTTCTGCTGCATGTAGCACCGATCCAGCCGCATGGTCTGATAGTGCCGACTGGATTGCGAGGCGTGATAACCGTGAGTCGGTGTTGGTGGTTGTTTGTAGTGAGGTTTGGCGACCTCCTGCGCGAAGCTCCTGCATGCACGTACATGCGTAACATGAGCGCTGGATTTTTTTTTACAAAATGCTCCCGCACAGGCCGACAGCGCGGCACACGTGTCCGCCGTCATGTATTTGTTTGATACTTTGACACTCGTATCTATGTTGCATGCGTTTATGCAGCGGTTGGTGAGGAAGGGAGCAGTTAGGAACAAGAGGAATGGCAGTACCTAGCCATCTTTGCCGACTGGGCGTAGCGATTGGCAGGAGAAGATCAGCATTAAGACAGCAGGGTCTTTTCCGCAAGCCATGGCCTAGACTTTCGTAGCGTACGCGAAACAAAGCGCGAAGAATCTTGCACGCGGCCTTTCGCCCTTCGGAGAAAACAGAGCAGGAGACTTGATCTACTGCTGTATTTGTACTACACAGCAGTACCTGTAGTGCATAGCGCTATTCCGTCACAGAGGCGTATGGTACAAGCAGTAGAGTATGCTTCTTGCTCTCACGTCGCAGCTGGGAGCAGCGCAGCAGCGGCTCGACAGCGGTGTCAAGGCTACCTTTTACGTGACACAGCATTGGTATGCAAGGTGCGGTAAAGTCGTTAGCAGCGACGCAGCCAGTGCCTTCGTGCCGTTGATCTTGTAGTACTGCAAGTGACATCGCGGATTCCCGAGGGAATAGCAGGTTCTCTGTTTTCGGAAACAGCAGGCACTAGTGGCACTGCTGTATTCGCCCGTGTCCGGTGTTTTGCTAAATAACGCGACGGTTCTCACGTTCTCACCCCCTGTTGCTTCCCTCGCACACTAGTCAAAGACTACCAGCAAGTGCTCGTAGTAGACAGATTGCTGCCCTACGAGAAATCCCATCTCCCACCCAACGTTCCGGTTGATTTCCACGGTCTTTAGGCCCTTTTGGTCTTGCACGGCTGAGAGGAGAGGATGCAATTCCGATGGCAACCCAGGGTTCGTGCAAGCAAGTATCTACGAGTTCGCGTCGTAGAGTGGATGTGCCGCCCAGTGCCCACAATAGCAGTGTATTGTTTCCCGGTACATCAATCGTAATTTTTATTTCTACGGTTGTGCTGATGTGCTGTCTTCGCACGCGCCGCCGTTTCGGGTGGTGTTGAAATCTTCCGCCTTTTCTTGCCCTGGTCCCCTTCCGTTTCCTTCTCACGGCACATCCCACCGGAGCCCCTTCGCGAGAGTATCATTCTTACCCTATGAAATAGAGAGGGGGGGTTCGTATCCCTATCCCTTACCCAGTACCCCCTGCTAAAGCCAAGCTTAATATCCTCGCGGGGGCTACTCATCCCACCGCATACATTTGCGAGCGGTCGTTGTGCCGCTGTGGAGAAAATTCCGGGCTCTTTTCTTGACAACAGGACTAGGGTACCAGACTTTGAAGACGCCTCGTTATTGCCCCCTCAGGATACGTTGAAGATGTTCCCGGACTCTTTTCTTCACCATCACAGAGATGAGCATTGTTCAACGTGTGCAATCCCCCTATCGCACCTGCGATTCCGAAAGCCACGCCCGACAAAAATCGCAGGGCGCACGTACCGCCGTGTCAAGCTCATTGGCCTTGGAAGCCGCATGTCGTGCTGAGTTTTGTGCTGCCCGCCACCACCGCATGACTATGTACGACATTTTCGCGCACGTTTTTACCGCCTAATTCAACCCCATTGTCTGTCCAAACACAACAAAAACGTGGATAGTCTGTCCTAACCCAACAAGAACATGGATATCTTCCCCGTGTTCAGCACGGACTTGGCGACCATGGAGAACCTGTGGCTGAGCTACAGCAAGGGAAAGTTCGGCTACAGCGTGCAGAAGGACCTCTGGCGGAAGACCAAGGGCGACTTCGAGAACTTTTGCCGCCGCATCGGCTGGACTACCATGGACGCTGAGGTGCGCTTCGCTACGTACTGTACATGAATAGCATACGAAGGCCATGGTTCCAAGAGAGAGATTGAAGTACGTTTTTGTCTGTTTTTGTGCTGACCCCTACGTTTGTCTTCGAAATACGGCTGGCCCATTGCAGGGAAAGCTTCAGTGCTTGTACTTCAAGGTTTGCCGTGTTGCGTAGCCTCGAACCGAGGCTCTGCTTCAGCTGGAATCCTTGCTTGCTGTGTATCCAAACAGGGCTAGACACGAAAACGGAGCCCCGCCCCCACACGCGTGCCATTACATTCTCTTGTGTGTCGACGTTAACTCAAATGAGGAAACAAGAAAATCTGGTAGAGGTCCTGCAGTGGGGGGGGCACGTATCTACCCCGTGAACAGCAGTACCTAGCTACCGGTCTTCCTTGTCGGTTTATGTTCCTTTATCGTCTCACTTTTTGTCTCGTTGTCTGCTTTTGCTCTCCGTCGGTGCGTGTACCTAATACATCCTCTCACTTCTTATCACGCCCCTATTTTCGTCCTCTTTTTTCTTTCTCGATGTTCGATCTCGTCGTACCCTCAGGTTGAGCGTAAGCTGCGCTGGTTCGGCGCCAACGAGTTTATCTACGACGTGGACAGGGCCCCCAGGGGACACCTCCCCCTCACCAGCGCGTTGCGAGGCACCACTCTCCTCAAGGAGTTGATGATGCACCCGGTGTGGGAGACGGAGTGGGAGTGGAAGTAGGCAGCCGGGTAGACGGAAAGGGGGCACGCAGCCGGAAACTTGGTTACGCAGGGCCATGGTGTGGTTAGGTTTGGTTGAACGGAGCAGGGGTGTGTGCGGGGGGTTAGAGACAAACGTTCGCCCGATGTTTTCCGACAGGTAAGTCAGTGTAGAGAGAGAGGTTTCAAGTTTTTTTTTTTGTTTGGCTGTTTCTTCTTGGACAGCGTACAGCAGTAACGGCGACGCGGTTTGAAAGGACAGCTGGGTTTGGTCGAAGGTGTTGACGCCGACGCGTGTTATTGGCGAGTTGGGTCGTTTCAGAGCAGCACACGAGTAGTACGTTAGGAATTTTGACGCTTTTTTCTTGGGAGAACTGGTGACAGCGATGGAAAAATTAGGAGTGCAGCGCGTGGTTGCTCTCACGTGCAAGGGACGGACGGTGTTGCAGATCCAATGATACTGTGCACATATTCTTTCAGTGCAAACACTTGTGTTTTTTGAAGCGCTCTCCCAAGTATCGGCAATTCTGGAGTTTCGTGCTCCGGGTTTGGCGAGTTTCAGGTAACTTACAACTAGGCGATCGTTTTATTTAATCCGTGCATACGCCTACCTCTCTTCGTAGGGTCGACTGCATGTCGGCTGGCCCGTTTCTTGTTGCTAGAGCAACACATTCATATCTGGAGTTGGATGCCGAAAGCCGCAGCAGCGGTGTGCCGACAGACTACCTGCACGTTGGCAGAGAGACGATCGAATGCCGGCGGTATTTTCGAAAATAGTGGGGTAGTGTTCCAAGGGACGGTGGGAGATGCATTGCATGATTGATTGCCTTGAGGCGCCCGACGACGACATCGTCTGTCACCAAATCTCTCATCTCAGACAACGAAAATCTGGGGAGGACATTTTGACTTCCGGGAGATAAGCCACCGGTTCGTTGTGAAGAGAAATATGCCACACACACACGATCTCCCTCGCATTTTTGCACGCGTTACGAGAGAAACGCTACTTATTTACGCTGGACGATACTGATTGGTAGGCTTGGTGAGCTCGCTTCGTTTTCTCCGTACGAAGGAAAACAAACGCAACACTCAATATATATTCGCGGTAGCGACGATACGCTTTATCGTGTGAAAAAAAAGTTGAAGCGAGAAGATGATGACGTCTCCATGTTATATGATTAATTACTGTTGTGGATTACTCACATGCCAAATCCCGCGATGGAGCAAGAGGAGCCCTGGTTAGACTTTACATTTTGCTCGGCTATTTGATTTCCCCATTGCAATGCACGGCCCGCCGGGAGTTGACCTTACGGCGGACATGGCACCTTCGAATTGTTGCTTGTACACAACACGCAAATGCATGTTCTGCTTGCTTACTCTGTCGAACACACCGCGTCTGTCTGTCTGTTTTTTTGTTCTAATACAGCAGTAGTTCCCGAAAACGTCATCAAAAAGACGGGGGGCAGAAACACAAGTAGACGAATATCCTTCCTTGGAGGCTAACCCCCCTGCCCCCCCCCCCCCCGGATGGTCAATGGTCAAATGACTACGGCAAGCAACAAATGAGTACGCCCCCCCCCCGGAGGGTACGGACGACGAGGAGTGAGTGTGGCGGGAAATACTACAACAAACAGGCCCGAGAGCAAACGTGCGAAAACATGTCAAAAGTGGGGAAAAAAAACGAGCTTTCGTGGGACTGGAACTCTTGATCCATGATACCTCACGATCTATGTATGTACTGACTGCTGTATCAAACATCACGATCTACAGCAGTCAGTATGTTGCCACACGCATCGAAATCATCAGTTTAGAAAATGAGCTCACACGGTGTCGAGGCTGCTACTGCTAGACTAGACTACACATGGTATTATACACGTTGCATCATATGTGCCCACATGCCGCACTGCATGCGGCCATCTTTCTAGATGTTCCAGATGTTCCGTAGCAACTCTCCAACTGCTGTGGTACGAATCTAACTTGAAGGTAGCCGCGTGATGGTGCGTTCCGTACCGTGTTGTACCTAGCGTACCATGGTTATTTGGCGTGGATGGCGTCATGATTTGATGCAATACAGCAGTACACTGTGAAGGAGTTCCTCCGCATATTTTCTCATGTGGTTCGCTGTCTCGCTGTCGCGTGAGGGTCATTTCGTCGTTCATCATCAGCTGGTCGGGTGCTTGCTGGGGCTCTGGGTTGCTCGGTGTACACGCAAAGCGACACGAAAGCTAAAACAAAAGCAGACTCCATCTGTGGGCCTGAGGTCGGACTACAGCAGCATAGTTCTACACAGCACCGGAAGGAGAGAAGGCGGCCAACATCATCCTATTTTACATCACAACGTACTCGTCACGGCGAATTACGGTTTGCCATGACCACCAAAGGTGAGAGGGGGTTTTCGGTAGCAGGGGTACTGCTGTGTGTTGTGTGTGTCGGGAATTGGTGCGGGTTTGACCGCACTCAGAAGGGTGGGAAGTGCGCAGTACGGAGGGTCCGGAGAGGGACAAAAGCCGCACTACGGAGGGGTGTCCCGAACATGTAGTGGGGCACCCGAACTATCGGTGTCTAAGTTGTGCCAGGCGATTTCACCATCAGTGTTATTGGGTTAAGTTTTTTTTTTTTCTTGGGCACTTCCTTCGTCAGCACGGGTTGGCGACGAGCCGGGTGGCGTCGAAGAAAGGACGATCCGCTAGAAGATGAACTGTTGGAGGGTAGAGGAGAAGGAACGAGGTGAATCGATTCACGAGGCCCGGTGCATGGACTTTGGGGGTCACCCGCACTATTAGCGGGCACCCTCAGTATAGAACCCGCACTATAGAGGGCCCCCCGCCGTACTTCTATCTTCCCCCTTGAAAAGTTGTCATCGTCCAGTTCGCGTTCATGTCCTCAGCTGTCCCATTGGAGGCACGCCAGCAGTACTGCTGTAGTCCCTCCTCTTTGTCCTGGCGCCAGGAGGTCGGGTAATCGTGCAGTTTGCAAGCCTGACGGCGGCATGAACGCAAATATCCTGTGCGGGCAGTCTGTCTAGAAAAGCGTGAAGAGCATTATACTAAACAGCGCATGGTGGGTTTGGCCAATCAGCGTAGAGCTAAGGGGTCTATTTCCTGAGTCGAAAGCTGTTGTGGCCCGTCCAAATATCACGTGAATACAACAAAAAAACAAAAAATGGAGTTTGCCTTGTGAGCAGTTTGTGATCCTTTCGACCTGACTGTCGGTTTCGTCTTCATCGTTGGTCATCCGGATGCCACCGCCCAAGCATCGGGCGCGCAATTTTCCCCCGGACGGGCGTCAGTGGCTGTCGGCGGGTGCCTGAGCATCCCCCCCGAAAGAGCGGGCTCGAACAACACCAACAGCAGTGGGCGGGGGAGCATAACCACAGCCGCCGCGGCACAGTTAGGGGTGCCAATCGGGCCGACTTTGGCGGCAAAAAAGTGACCGGTCTATTCGAGGATTTTGGGAAAAAAAAGCGGGGGCACGCGGATTGTTGGTTCTCAGCTCATATCTTGAAATCATACCGATCAAAGTATACGTTATCCTCCGTATGTTTGTTCAAGAGTCCCTGCGTCCAGGCAGCGATCTAGCTCTTCATACGTTACACACATCTGGAGACAGGTCATCTACACGTGACTGCGGGTTCGTTTTCTACTGACGTTCAAAGGGCGGGCGAACAACACAGAAAACGCTATGAAATTCGGTTTGAAGGCTCACGCTCGTGGCCGCGTTTGGTGATCGTAGAACAGCGGATCCGCAGCGCACAGTCTCGGGTTTTCAGCGACACAACGCAAGAAACCGAACTAGAATCGCACAAACTACCAGCGAGAACCGCATGTCTGAAAATGGCCAGTCAAGCACGCCAAGCACCGCGGTCGAGGTCCCCCAAAAACGCAAACGCTCGGCCTTCGGCGCGGGACGAAAAAATCGATTTCGTCGCAACCTCAAGAAAAACGAACGCAAATACATAGAGCGGGAGGGGCGGACCTTTGCCGACGCGGCCGGAGCAGCGCACACACAGCGCGCGGTCGAAAGGGGCGGTGTTGCCGTCGCGCAGAAAGCGCTGGTAGAAAAGGAGCAGGAGTTGATCGGAAGTAGACAGCGCGAGGCGTCGAGCGCCGCTGGGTGCAGCATTCCTCAGGAGCGTTCTATGTGATTTGATTGGCTCGAGCAATTTTCCATCTGGAAGATCCAGTTCACTTTTTGAAATTTTTACCTATAGGAAATTTGACCGATTGGCACCCCTAACAGTCGTAGTGCCCAGCACCAGTTAGCGGTCCAAGCTGTCACGACTTGTTTGTTGGCTTGGGTCATCCGCGAAGACAGAGAGCGATATTTACACGTACGATATGGGTTGGGAACCCGCTCCCAATGGGGGGAGCTTGATCTTCTACCTACGGATTTCTGTCGTTCCCGTCATCGTTTTGAGGTCTCGCTGCGTCTGTCTAATGCTGTCTTCATGTGCGGTGCTCAACCACCCCATCACCGACCACGGCACCCCATGTACGGTCGCTCGTTTCACGGCGCGTCGCACGAAGTATGGACGCTGAAGTGTTGTCATTTTTTCAGCAGTGCGGGCGCGCAGTTAAAGAAATATTTCGTTACGAAACGTGAAGGCTCAGATTTTCACGAGAACTTAGAGAACGGATTTATGAAACACAGCTCAGCCGATAAATCCTATACTACACTCAAAACAATAGCAGCCTGTGCTGGGCGGTGGCGACGAAGCAAGAAATTGAACCTCCACACGATTTTGACGTTTCTTTATCTGCGACCCTGCACTGCTGTATGTATGTGTGCCTGTTGGTGATCTGCCTCCGATAAACCTGAAGCGAAGCAGATTGACAACCAATCGTTTTTCGCCTAGTCGCGGTATCACACTGCCGCAACAGTTCTAGCGTCGCCTTCCTCCCACCCATGTGGGGAGATGTGAGCACTGGTGAATTTCTCCGGGCACTCATCCTGCAAGGGTCGGGTTGCGCTGTACAGCAGTCCTCGTCTATCTATAGGATCCCACGGGTGTTTGCGTGTTTACGAGGAAAAGAAATAGAGAGTCTGTCCATCAAACGCACAAGGCATCCAGCGTCTTCTACTGCTTATAGTTGGCAATACTCCGCTGCCCACGCCTCTACCGTATCCTGAACATGTCGGGAAAACGTTAAGACGCACCTAGTCTACGTTGCGTTGCGCTACCCGACTGGATCATCACTGCAGAGAGAATTGCGTGTTTTCTCTAGGCAAGGCGACAGCAACAAAGACGTACCCCTGTCCTCCAGCGTCGAAGTAGTCTTGGCAACCGCCCGCGGCATGAGCGAGGACCCCCACAGTTCTACTCCTAAATCGGCCGCTTTTTCTATAGAACACCCTCACATGACGCATGTACGCACAATGGAGCGTTGATGTTCCTCCTCGTTCATTCTGGTGTTGTTCCTGCTCTTGGGCGACACGAACCGGCAGGCTACCGGCGCCGTGATGTTTAGCACCAAGCGCTTTCCATACCTTTTCATGAGAAGGTGGTCGTGACCGGAGACACACGGGAGGCATGTACGGTAGTAGCTCTCGGGGGTATGCTGTTTCTGCAAGTACTTGCGTCTGGGGGCTAGATCCTGCGGTTACAGTCTCCTCCGTTTCTTTTGGGGGATCCCTCGCTTTTGGCACTATTTTTGGAGTCTAGCCGTCCATCCCTGTGGCGAATGGAAAGCACGTTGTCTACGTCCCGTCCGTGCCCCCCCCGGTCCTGCTGTTGCTGCTGGGGCTAGCCTATGACGCATGAAAACAAAGTCTATTCTGGCCTGTCCGCTGAGACATGTAGAGGTCAGGCGGCACCGCGCGGGCGATTGTGTCGAAGCAAGCACATTAGCACAAACAAGTTGCCATGCGCATCAGCGGAGAGCTACGAAATACTATGTTCGTCTGGAAAACGCGACGAAATGTAGGGGGGGTGAGCTACAGCAATGGCAAGGGCAGAGACCATCGTGGTGCTCCTTGAGGATAGAGAGGTCCTCTCGCAGAACACAATGCGCTTCATTGTGGCCAGTATTGAATTATTGGGTCGGCATGTGACTCCCTCCACCATGGAGGTCACTGCTTCGAAGCTTGACTCGAGCACGATTGATGAACGCCGATCCCGCGGAGACGACTAGCTGTGCAGAGTCAATAGGTTTTTCCGGTTGTGCCTGCAGAAATGCGCTTGGAAACCAACTAGAATTACAAATCTCGGATATTTGAGAGACTGGTCATCCTTAACGATCAGGCACACGAACGGAGAGTGGTGAGGTAGATTGCCAAGTTTCGAGGAAGGACCTGTTGACCCATCATCGCCGGGAATGGTGACCAAGAGCGTGGATTGCTTTGGCTATTGCTTGCTTCTTCATGTCAAGGGTGCGGTTTTCATGGAATAGCTCCAGTTGAGTGCAAAAGGCGCGTTTTCACCAACGTTGGAACGTAAGAACCTACAGTAGAGGAATATTCTTTCGTGGGTCTTGCAGCGGCCTGCCGAATGGTGCATTTGCCCGCCCGAACTAAATGGTGTTCGAAGGGAGGGTGTCGAACATGAACAGACAAGACCAGGTGGTCAAACCCTGGGCACCGCTGCATGGAATGATCTGGTTTGTCGTGAGCTTGATAGCGCCAACCTCGGTGCATCTTCTTCCCCCCTTCCGTCCTTCTCCCCTGTCACTGACTTGAACCTAAGAGGTCGCGCGTCAACGAACTGCCTCAAGTCCCACAACACTTTTTGTTTGCGTTCCTACATGTATACCTCCCATCTACAATCTCAGGAAACAGCAAGTGCCTGGACGCCTTCGTCGTTGCCTTGAACCAGGCTTGCGATGGACAAGAAAAGCGTTGGTATGTGTCTACGCTGGAGCTGCAGCTCGTGTCACTGGAAGTTTGTGGGGCGTGCAGACGTGTCCAGACCTTGCACGTACGTGTCAAGCCACAAACGCCTCCTAGCTTGTGGTTCCCTAGCCAAAACCACACCACAACCAACAACCGCAGTCCAAAGGTTTGCATCTCGAGCCGGGTGCCGGTTGTGCAGGCTTTTGGTTTGACGTGGGCACTTCCGATGGGGGTTCTGCAGCAGAGGTCTGCCACTGAAGTGCGATCAGGGTCAGGATGTCGGCGTGCAAACACACACTCATCTGCAGCAAGCTTAGAATCGGCGGTTTGGCCTCAAAGGCTCAAACGGATGGTATTTGAATCGGATATGACCGTGAACACGGCGTCGTGGCCTGCTTCCCTGCAACAGCTATCGTTTGGTTGTGGCTTCAACCAAGCAATCGTCGGGGTCGCGTGGCCTGCCTCCCTGCAGCAGCTATCGTTTGGATATTCCTTCAACCAGCCAATCTTCGGAGTCGTGTGGCCGGCCTCCCTGCGGCAGCTATCGTTTGGATATTGCTTCAACCAGCCAATTGTCGGAGTCGCGTGGCCGGCCTCCCTGCAACAGCTATCGTTTGGAGTTGACTTCAACCAGCCCATCGCTGAGGTCGTGTGGCCGGCCTGCTTAGATTGTCTGTCGTTTGCGGATTTATTCGACCAGCCCATCGCCGGAGTCGTGTGGCCTGCCTCCCTGCAGAAGATATCGTTTGGGTTTTTCTTCAACCAGCCAATTGTTGGAGCCATGTGGCCGGCCTCCCTGAAGCATGTGTCGTTTGGGTATTGTTTCAATCGATCCATTTCGGGAGGCGTGTGGCCGGCCTCACTGCAGCAGCTATCGTTTGGTTTTGAATTCAACCAACCCACCGTCGGAGTCATGTGGCCGCCCTCCCTACAAAACCTATCGTTTGGGAATTCCTTCAACCAGCCGATCGTTGGAGGCGTATGGCCGGACTCCCTGCAACAGCTATCGTTTGGACGTTGTTTCAACCAGCCAATCATTGGAGTCGTGTGGTCGGTATCCCTGCAGCAGCTGTCGTTTGGTTGTGGCTTCAACCAGCCCATCGTCGGAGTTGAGTGGCCGGCCTCCCTGCAACAGCTGTCGTTTGGCGAGAAATTCAACCAGCCCATAGCCGAAGTCGTGTGGCCTGTCTTCCTGCAGCAGCTATCGTTTGGATCCTCCTTCAACCAGCCAGTCTTCGGAGCCGTGTGGCCGGCCTCCGTGCGGCAACTTTCGTTTGGATACTCCTTCAACCAACCAATCGTCGGAGGCATATGGCCAGCCTCCCTACAACAGCTATCGTTTGGAGCAAAATTCAACCAGCCCATCGCCAAAGTCATGTGGCCGGCGTCCCTGCAGCAGCTATCGTTTGATGCTGATTCTGACTTCAACAAGCCCATCCTCGGAGTCATGTGGTCGGTGTCCCTGCAGCAGCTATCGTTTGGGTATTCCTTCAACCAGCCAATCTTGGGAGTCGTGTGGCCTCCCTCCCTGAAGCAGCTGTCCTTTGGCGTTTTCTTCAACCAGCCCATTGCCGGAGTCGTGTGGCCGACCTACCTGCAACAGTTATCGTTTGGTTCTGAATTCAACCAGCCTATTGCTGGAGTCGCGTGGCCGGCCTCCCTGCAGCGACTATCGTTTGGTTGGGGCTTCAACCGACCGATCGCCGACGCAGTGTGGCCGGTCTCTCTGCAGCATCTTTCGTTTGGAGGTCAATTTGATCAGCCCCTCGTCGGAGTCTGGTGGCCGGCCTCCTTACGAAGTGTGACTCGTCAAGGACGCAGTCTGCCGTTCCAAAACTGCTCAACCACGGCAAGGGAATGCTACAGTTCGAGGAGCGACACCGCAAGGCCGACAGCAACCGCAAGATCTACACTGCCGTCGCCTCCCTGGCCGTCGCCGCCGGACTCGTTTGCGCCGTCTCCTCCTCCACCGAACACTCCGCTGCGGCCGCGGTAAATCTCGCTGCTGTGACGGCGATCGAGCCACGCTCTCCCGTTCGCGGGTCCTTCTTTCGGCCAGGTGGAACAGGGAGGGTATGGTTAGGAAGACGCGACGCGTCGAGGTACAATTTTGGTCTCCATGCGTGTCAGGCCCAACGCTATCGAGTCGGCTATCCCCCCGAGTTCACGACTTCGTCCCTTCGAAACACGACACGCTCGAAAGCGGTCCAATTGCTTGGGAGTCGGCGGCGCAAACACCTCTTGTTTGAAGTCTCGGGTGGCATTTCTCCTGCATAGCTGGCACGGAACCGTCGAGACTTTGAGGAATGCCACACACTGTCTATGGAGAAGAGGTGTGATTGGGCGGCAATAGGGTTCAACGCAGGCTATTTACGCCCCCAAGGCAAGCAAACCCAGCCGTAAGATTGCCGTCCGTAGTCATTTATATATCAGACATGAAGATGGCAGAAGTATGAGTTTTTGAAGACGAGGTGATCGTAGCGGGGTGTGCGACGCAGCGTAGGATGTAGACCTTGTTGCCCTGTACACCATCGATAGAAGACCGGATATCTGTGTCGTCCGTTGTGTTTGTTTCTGACGGACAATATGCGCCGGGGGGGTTGGAGGCGCGTTTCTGTTTTCAAGCATGTCACCAGGCATGTGTCACGTTACTGATTTCGGCTAGCGACCGCAACGTGATGCTTGATACCCACTGGGAGTGGACAATCGAACGTCTTATTTCCCTGATGAGTCGTACCAGTGAGATTGTATGTTGCCTCGATGATGCTGAGCTGTGAGGACGGTGGATTGGAAGCTAGACTGACTCCACAGTATACGAACAATCTGCGGGGTAGGTGGGTCGTTGTCGTTCTTTTCGTGGTTGTGGTGAGTTATGTCAGGTCTGGCGTTTCTGTTCGTGGGTCCGTTGAAGGTTTATCGGAGAGCTTCAACAAGAAAAACGAACGTTGGAAGCGTATGGCAGTTTGGGTGTTTGGCATGCTGCGGTTGAATTGTCGGTGTTTCGAATTCGAAGGCGAGCGACAGCCTAGACAGTCTGTGTGTGACAGGGAGGGTTTTCCTTCATCACTGCGCGATTGCGCGTGCTCTTGTTCATCGCTCTCTAGACGTTGTGGTGTCGTAATCCTGCGAACGCACGACTTCATTCTGGACAAATCGTGCTTCCTACTCACCAAATAGATGGGCCGAACACGCACACATCCAACCAGCTGATCTGTGCAGACGTGTGGAGAGAGGCGCTTGTCCGGGGGTGTCTGAAAGTACTATTTACCCATTCAGCATTTGCGATGGACAGCATCGGTTCTTGATACAGAATACGCGCTCATCCAGAGCCTCTTGTTTTGGTCGACCCCCGTGGCCTATCTCCTCCGCGAGTAAACGGAGGAGACTTCCTAGCTTGGTACTTTTTTTTGCCGCGTAGTGTCCAAGTTCTTATTTTCTCCGTGAGGAAACCAAGGGAGACTATAAACTATAATGTTTTGTACCGGGTGTCCCACTTTTGATACTTGTCGAATTCCCTTCTTGTAAGCATTTTCCGATTCCCTTGTTGGTCACATCAACAACAAATCATGTATCACCTTGTTCAACACAAATTTGGCGGCCATGGAGAGCCTGTGGTTAACCCAAAAGTAAGGTACAAGTTCGGCTACATAATACTACTTATGAAACATAAATACAAGCACATAAATACTACCCAATCGGCATATGACCACAGTGTGCAGAACAACCTCTGGAGGAAGACCGAATCAGACTTTCAAACATTTTGCGCTGCACCGGCTAGAGTATGATTCCATGGTGAGTTGCGTCTGCTACGAAAACAGGATCCACGTAGGCGGAACAGGGGATCAAAAGGGACATCGAGCCGAGAACCTTGGTAAAGCTGCACTTTCTTGTGCTGTGGTTTCGCGAGCAGGGAAAACGAAGCAGAGGTGGGGGGAGGGGGTAAAGAAAAACAATACCCCCACGTTTTCCGACAGGTCAGTCAGTGCAGAGAGAGGTTTCAAGAGTGTTCGTTTGGTCGATTGTTCGTCGACGGCATATAGTGTTAACGACGACCTGGTTTGACGGGAGAGGTGGAGTTTTATTGAACGAGTTCGCTCTGGCTCGTGTTGTTGGCGAGTGCGATCGTGGCAGAGCAGTGTAGAACCGTATGCGAGGGTTTACCCTTTGTGGGTGATGGTTGCGAGAAAGAGTGATATATATTGACGACGGTTGGGGTGCAGCGCGTAGTTTCTCTCACGTGCAAGGCGGGGACCGTGTTGGAGATCAAGTTACACAGTCAGCGCTATTTTGAAGCACGTCAGAACTTGGCAGATAAATTCATAAAGGCCTCGAAAACTCAATATCTGAATTGAGCACCATATACGACCTCGGATAAGATTCCTACACTCATTAAGACCTATATTGCGGCCAAGTGTCACATGATGACCCTGGGCATTTAGAACCCCAGCCTTGGCCAAAACTAGGGCGGTAACTACAGTACTGCACATTGTCTTTCAATGGCAAAGCACCTTCCCATGTAAATAACATTTTTGAGTTATTTCCTGCGCCTAGTTCCGCGTGTTTCAGATACATTAAAAACAACATAGATATAGAAATATCGCTTTTTGTGCCCCGTGCATCCACCCGATCTTTGTTGGGCGGAGGGCATATCGGCGTCCATCTGCTTGATTATCCAACTCATGTCTTAAGTTGGATTCTGTAGCCGAAAGTCACGGCAGTGGTGAATGAATGAGGGGACAAACTCCCATACAAACCGGCAGAGAGAGAGCGGTGAACGAATGCCGGCGGTAATTTGGAGAATTGTGACACAGCTTGTTGGCTAGGGAATCGTTTGAGTTTCATAAAAAAAATGGGCAATAAACCTTCCAGGCAACACGTACCGTAGTCATTTGTCTTGTTTTCACTCTAGAGTGTTTGGTATCCCTGGTGCCCTTGGAATCCTCTTGTCCGACTGTCTAACCCCGGCTGCGATGCGTTTTCAGGCAAAATATTGAAAACGAAGGGGGCGGGTGAACAATCGGTACATCGAAGAACAGACATTGCTATCTGAAAGTCGGAGGGAGGTACACTCGAATTTTGGCTCGCCTGGGGAGGCTTGGTTGTGTGTGTGTCTCTGTTGAGCTAAAAATTTCAATCACGGCAGGAAGTCAATCCCTGAACCATTCCAATCCGAATAGGATTGGTGTTTGCTGCGAAAACAAAATTGTTGATCACGGTTCAAGCGATTCTTTTTCCGCGGCTGGTTTCTCTCAGCTCGCCAAAGCTACGACACGAAATCTCGGCGGTGCCTTCGCGCGACCTACTGTACGCCTCGACGGCCCTGTTCAAGGAATTTCAATCGAATCGGCAACAGTCGGTGCCAAACGCAAGCATTTTGTCTTGCTTCTGCGCTCATCATAATCCTATTGACGTCTTCTTAGCGTTCTGCGTTTTCCTCTTCTTCGCGGCGGCTGAATTCTCCGAGCTCAACAAAGCTACGACGACGAGGTTGACGGCGCTGCCTCCGCACGCACCAGTCCTTGCCAACGCAGCTAATGTTTTCACCTCGAATCGCAGGCACACCAGCGGAAACGTACAAACAGCCTTCTCTCCTCACAAGCGCCGCGCGCCTGGAGCGCAAGTCCACGCATTTTCTTGCCACGACGTGCTCCACAACCGAGCAAAATACGGCCGTATGCCAGCCACGATTCGATGCCCTAGGACAGAACAAGGATGCCCACCGAATCTCGGCAAAGCTGGAGGCGAGCAAAGCGAGCACGCTTACCAAGAGCGCCAAGCCGGCTGCTATTCTGCCGCCAGCGTCGGACGCATCCTTTTTTTTTAGCAGGTGATCATTCACTGGGCACCTTTGTGTCCGACGATCAAGGGCTGCTGTTGGCAGCTGGTCTGGAATCCGTGGTAGCCGTTATGCTATCGGCCCGAAGCGCCCCCCTCCCCTTCGTCCTGTTTGCCTTTTTCCGACGTTGCGTAGCCAGACGCACCGCAAGAAGCTGACAGTTGCCCCAAGGCCCGCAGCACTCTCTTCGTTTCTGTTCCTACTGGTATTTTCGCCATCCACCATCTCAGGAAAGAGAGACTGCCTGGACGCCTTCACTGTGGCCTTGAACCAGGCTTGTGGTGGGGGTTGGTATACGTCTACGCTGGAGCTGCAGCTTGTGTCGCTGGAGTCTTGCGGGGCATGCAGAAGTGTCCAGACCTTGCACGTGTGTGTCCATCGACGCATGCCCCCTAGCCTGTACCCCCCTCGCAAGTCAAACACAAGCGTAGTCCACGGCTTGCATCACGAGTCGCGTGCCGGCTGTGCAGGCTTTCGGCTTACCATGGGGACTACCGCTGAAGGTTTTGCAGCAGACTTCAGCCCTTGAACAGCGGTCAGGGTCGGAATGTCGGCATCACACAGGGCCCTCATCTGCACCAAGCCTGGGGTCGAATGATTGTGGCCACAGGCTCGAAAGGCTCGGATTTCCTTCGGAAACGACGATAAACGCGGTGGCATGGCCTGCCTCCATGCTGAAGCTATGGTTTGGGAATCTATTCGACAAGTCCATCATCGGAGTCAGGTGGCCGGCCTCCCTGCAGCAGCTATCGTTTGGTCCTGACTTCAATAATCCATCATCGGAGTCGTGTGGCCGGCGTCCCTGCAGCAGCTATCATTTGGTTTTGAATTCAACCAACCCATCGTTGGAGCGGTGCGGCCGGCGTCCCTGCAACAGCTGTCGTTTGGGTGTGAAATCCAACCAGCCAATCGCTGAAGTCGTGTGGTCGGCCTCCCTGAAGCACCTAGCGTTTGGTACTTGGTTCAACCAGCCCATCGCGCACGTCATGTGGCCGGCCTCCTTGCAGCAGCTATCTCTTGGTGAAACATTCGACCAGTCCATCCTCAGGGTTATGTGGCCGGCCTCCCTACACCATCTCTCGTTTGGGTTTCTATTCAACCAGCCAATCGCTCAAGTCGTGTGGCAGGTCTCCCTGCAGCAGCTAGGGTTGGTTATGCCTTCAATCAGTCTATCGCGGCAATGGTGTGGCCTCCCTCCCTGTAGCAGTTATCATGGACGTCAGTTCAACCAGCCTATCGTCGGAACCATGTGGCCGGCCTCCCTGCAGCAGCTATCATTTGGTTCGGAATTCAACGAACCCGTTGTCGAAGTTATGTGGCCGGCCTCCGTACAAAGTGTGACTCGCGACGGGACTAGTCTGCTACCGTGCCGGCGAACTCGTACTCAACGACACTTGCGTTCGTAGGTGTAACCGATTGAGCACAGGCTGTTCTAAGCTATGTACTGCATGGTAGGATTTAGTGTGGCACCTCGCCGGCAGCTATCACGCAATACTTGTTTTCCCAAAGTCTGAGTCTCGATTTCTAATGATGATGCTTCTCTTGAGCGCACCGGCATTGCGTGATAGTTGTGAAGGCACGCCTCCCGTTGTGCAGGTCCTGCCTTCGGCCAGGTAGACATGGACGGCATGGTTACGAAGACGGGTACGGGTACAATATTGATCTTCATCATGCATGACAAGCCCACGGCGTTCAGCGAGGAATTCTGCGATGCCCAATCATGTCGAGTTGGTGATCCTCTCCATTCCGTGACTTTTTCCGTTCGCGAAGGGGTATCACCTAGGTGCTTCGGGGGCCAGCAATCAATGTATCAATCGCGGGGAACGTCCCGCGCATAGCCGTTGTGCTGCATGGATGAGTTTTTGTTTCGGGGCACCGAACCTTCGAGGCTTTGTGATTGACATACACTGAATATGGAGAACATATGGAGAAGAGATGTATGGTGGGCGGCAAAAGGACTATCCCAGGGCAAACACGTCATCAAGGCAAGCGAACCCAGCTTTGACAACGTCAATCCCTGGTACTCAACCTTCACGAGTGCGTACGGGTGGGGGGGTGCGCACTCTTAAGGCCGATCGCCGCAGGGTATGCGTAGCGGCGCAGGATGTAGACGGCCTTGCTCTGTATGAAACAGAACTGGATGTTTGTGTCGTCTCCTAGCTTGATTCCTGAGGGACAAACGGCACCGCAGGGTTTGCATATGTTAATAGCATCGGCCGCGCTAACCAGTTGACCAGTGAAAAGCGTCAGTCTCCGTGCGGTTTAAAGCAGAAACGCTTCTTCTAAAGGCCATGATCTGGGGCCCGGTGAGGGGGCGTCGTGCGGAGGCTGAACACTCTCCTCCAATTAATGAAGGACAGAAACGGTAGGAAACTTCACGTGTCTACTAAGGCTGCTATTGTGCACGCGCGTTCGTTTTGGAGAGTTTTCATCGCGCGTCATCCTTGCGATTACTACCACCGCTTTACCAATCTTATTTTGTTCGACTACAGTATTTTTGCAGGTCCTCCTCTATTCCTGAGGCGCTTGTTGTGAGGAAGGTCATTTGGCCCCGAAGCTCTTGCTCTCAACACCATATTTCCTTCTCATCATCATTCTGTTCGTGGGTCTGCGAACATTCGTGTTGGATACATGTGCTGTATGATTTTGGTGTCACGCAGATTGGTAATATTGCCGTTTGGTAGGGGGCACCGCGATGAGTCACGGGGCCCCTCCTTGGTGTAGGAGCTGCCCATGTGGGGCACTCCCTCTTTCGTCCGTGTGAAGGACGGTCGTCGACCTCTCGTGAAGTTAATACATCACCAAAACAGTCTTACCCGATAAATAAGTGGCGTAGGCCGCAAACACTCTAGAATTTGCCCCTGGAGGGAAGCCACATCGGGATGAGCCTGCCGGAGATGAGATGCCCACTGCTGTGAGCGGAGAACAGATCCGCTCGCCGGTGGAGGAGGGCCACGATGCAGAGCTTGCAAGTTTGCAACGGCAGATTTCGCAACTGGCGGCCCTGGTGGAGGAGTCGGTGAAGAAGGAGCCTGGCAGTATCGTGGCGGNCGACGCGGAGCTTGCAAGTTTGCAACGGCAGATTTCGCAACTGGCGGCCCTGGTGGAGGAGTCGGTGAAGAAGGAGCCTGGCAGTATCGTGGCGGATGCAGCCAGTAGTGGCGGCCGGGTTGCCGCCAAGGCAGGCCAACAAGAGCCCACGCTGCCGCACGGCGGTGGCGGGGGATTTCTCCAGCAGCAAGCGAGAGATGGTGGGCAAGGACCACGGAAGCTGCTAGAAAGCGGCTGGGCCAGCAGATCGGGAGCGAATCCTGCGAGACCAGCCGGAGTGGGCCCGGGCATAGGGCCGGACTGCGGAGAAGCAAGGGGGTTAAACCCCCCAGGTGAGATAAACGTGATTCGAGGAAATGGAAAATACCTCGACGGCTACAGCAGTAGCCACCAGAAGGGAGTGACGGTCAATGCCCCGCTTCTAGACGGAAAAAGCCGTAGCCACGGATTTGATTCGTGGCGAAAATCGTTCATCCAAGCTGCGAAGACTATCGACCTGGACGGGCAGTTAATACGAGATGCAGAGAGCAGTATCCCCGTGGGCGACCCAAACTTGCCGACTTCCGAACTGCTCCGTAGGGGGCACACGAGAGCCGAAGTTCAANCCCCAACAAGACGTCGACCCGAGCAGCTAAGAAACTGCAGCGAGTTTTCGTGGATCTGAGTGGAAAAGCTCCGGGAGATCCGACAATGGAAGAGAGTTTTTTGAGGGAGAGTTCGGCAAGGTTTGCCGNATGCAGAGAGCAGTATCCCCGTGGGCGACCCAAACTTGCCGACTTCCGAACTGCTCCGTAGGGGGCACACGAGAGCCGAAGTTCAACGAGGGCTTCAGGCGTTCCATTTTACAACTACTGCTGGGGTAAAAGAAGCTGACAAAGCAATCATCAGTAACTGTACGTCAGCGAAAGGGGTCCTCGCGGATTTGGAAAAGGTCTACGATCCGGAGTTACAGGGGTCAAAACAGGCCTTGATGCGGAAGATGTTCGACTTTGCAATCCCCACACACAGCAGCAGAAACCCCATCGAGCACCTCTACTCACTCGAGCTGCTGTATGCCCGCCTGCGCGAAAA